ATTAAAAATTTTCACATTTTTACAATTTTAAGATACTTTACATCTACTTTTGGTCAAAGGGTGGTGCAAATCGCAACACCCTAACGAATTTATATGACACATCACACATTTTGGGTAAAATGTTTGACTTAAACAACATTAAAAGAACCAACATAACTAATTATTATTTAGATTGTAATTAATTGTTTGTAGTTAAACTTTGGTAGTTAAAAAAAAAAAAAAGAATAGTTTATTTAAGTTGGTATTATGTGTGACCAAACTAACCCCTGTTATAAAAATAAATTGATGTCATGATTTTTACTAAAATTAACAAAAATAATTCTCGGCCTAAAATAAGATGAAATCGTACGTTACAACTAGCAAACGAGCGATAATGAAATGAAAAGGGATTTGATTAGTACAAATAGTTTTTTTTTTTTTTTTTTTTTTAAGGTTACAAATATACAGGTTAAATATATGAAAAATAAAATAAAAATTTGGCACCCAGTAATGAACTTGGTGATCAAATTGAAATAGGAAAATTAAAGATGATCATTAGATTATTAGTACAAGAATTAGAGAAGGAAGCAACACCGTACAGATTATTAATAAGTTATATATTTGAGAAAATGGGAAAGAAATGAAATACAATTTCAACATACATAATAATCACTAGTTTCACTACTACTATCTACATACTAATATATTATATATAATTAATACAAATTCTAAATGCAAATTAAAATAAGATCTGGTAATATATATGCATGCATGGTATCATCGCCGGCCACCTTGAATCCAATTCAATTCCTTGGTACGTACGGTCACAGTTCTCCAGTAGTGTCCATTATTGAAGTGTCTGTGATATGAAGTCCAGTATCATAAATCTCTCCATTTCTCCAATCCTCCGGCATTACTTTACTTGCCCAGTACCACTTCCCGTCCAGCCCCGCCGTCACCACCACCCGGAACTGCAGCGGCCCGCTTGGAACACTGTTGGTTTCCCAGATTGCCTCGTTTTTCCGGTTCATAAAATTCCAGTTCGGCGACCCAACCTCTGCCACGTCCACGGCAACGATTTCTGTTTGGGCGCCCAGGTTCAAGAACCGGATTGCTAGATAACTTGGGGACTGGCTTGATTCCTCAACGCGGATCGCCAGATTCCCGGTTTTGTAACCGGAATCATCGGAATGGTGAACGCTGCAAGAAGATGAAACGAAGAAGAATAGCAGAAAGTAAGAGATAACAGCCATGGTGATATGATTGAGAAGATGAAGGCAGAGAGTAGGCGAAGGGAACAAATATATATAGATTTGAATTGCGAATTGAAGGATTTGAATTGAAAATTAAGGCGGTTGAAATAAACACAACTGCTTTGCGTTGCGGCGCGTCGGTTGAAATTAAGTTGAATTGAAACAATATAATAGCGGGTAGGGCGGTTAGTTGGTGTTGTACGAGGATAATGATAATGTTCCACTTACCCATGACCTTTGGTCTGGTTGGCTCTGATTCTCATATGCTCCATCTCAATTAAAAGTCTAAGCCAATAATTGAATTACTGATTATATGGTCAACATAAACAATTTCACTTTCAATAAATCTTGTATGAGACTATTTCCTGTAATACAGGTAAGACTTATTCTCATTTTTTATTAATTATTAATTAAATTGCTTACCCAGAGTAGATGAATGAGTGCATGTACAAGAATAAAAATCACAAGCATCTAATACATTTTGAATCTACACCTAAAAACTATACATATTTCATCTTTGTCAGCTTTACTCTCTCATGTCAGAACACAGTTTAGACATAAGCCATGGAATACTGACTTGCAAATTTGAGCTATGGAAGGGAGGAGACATAGATTGATCTCAACATTCATCATCTCTCTTAGCTTATTAGCAATCCTTATTACCATCCATCATATAAATGGGTTTTCCCCATATTTTAGTGTTCTTTTTCGGGTCGTCTGTAAGACTCAGATCTGTAGGATCTTCTTTGAATGTTTTTATGAATGTTTTTGCTCTCATCACGATGAGTCTTTCCACCATGAACAGCTGATAATTGTTCTCGATCACTGGATCCAAAATGCTGCTGAAATTTGATGAATACGCCAGCTTGTACCTGCAGAGTATAACGCATGTAGAAAAGAAAAGTCTGGTCAGCTATGGATCCCGACTTTGGTTGAAAAACTCACATGAAAACGCTGATAAGTGAAGGTTGGAAAACAGTGAATGGTTGATGTTTTAGTAAATGCAGTTGCTCGATTGAAGAGTGAGTAGATGATGAAAATATTGATTTGCAACGTTTTTCAGTTCCAGACAGAGTAAATAAAACAAGAGGTTTGGTAGAATGACTTGCCTCACGGCCAGGGGTGAAAAGAAGCCTGGTGTTTTCTCATTAGAAGCAATGTAAAGAGTCCGCCCAGGAGGGACCCATTTAGCAATTCTGCAAAGAATGAACTCTGGTTGTGTATCTCTATCCAAATGAGGATTTAAGCTTCGTTCAACCCCAAACCTATCCTTCCTAGTCCTGATCTTATCACCTCGGCGCACATGAATAGCATCATAGTCACCAAGGAGTGCTCTGATCTTCAGACAAAAAGGAAAAGAAGCATTACCAATGAGAAATGCATGGTCCCTTTTCTCACTGATAATAAACAGTGAAGATAAATGGACAACTCATACACGACAGAAAATGAACACTCATCAATTATCATCATGATCAAATATGTACTAATTCCAACCTAGTTTCTGCAGAAAATATCCTTCGATAGGTTGGGAACATAGGGAACACAGAATTATACATTTTTGTTTCATTATTCCAGCCAATCTGAAAACCAAAACTACCCCAACAGCCAAACACTTAAGGCAAAGTTTCAGGTTTTCTAAAGCATAACCACAACTTAGCAGGTCCAAATCTACCCCCGCCCCTAGCAAGAAAATTTCATCAATTCTCACGATATTAAAGAATGAGGTCATGCAGGATAATGAGCTTAGTTCTTGAGGTCAAATGTTTGACATGCTTACCCATTTGAAGTCAAGGTCTTATAGCTTAATTAAAAAAAAATGGCAAAGCAAGAGATGGGGCATTAAATTTATAGAGGGTTAGAGAGGTCAGAAATTTTGGGAAAAAAAAAAAAAGAAGGTGGAAGTGAAGGGAATTAAGGCCTTGTTTGGCAATCAGCGGATTATGCTAGCGGTTAGCAAATAGCGGATTATATTAGCGGGTTTGACCAGTGGATTGTATCAGCGGTTGGTAAAATTAGTTGTTTAGGTTAGCGAATAACATTTAAAATGACCTAAAGGGTATACATATATTTCATCATAATAATAACAGGTAAAAAAGTTTGTCAGCACAATGTTTAAAAAAGAAAGCCCATCAATGCCCAACAAAATGCAGTCAAACTAACCTTTTCTACTGCATCTTGTAGTTTCTTTGTGCCCATTGAAGGAAGGAAAGAATAAGGCAACAAGACAGCACTACGATTTTTCCGATCCTTACACTCCATGAACCTGAATGTTTACCATGATTAATACCTACAGAAAAAATGTCTCAATTCAAAAACAATGCCAGTGGCTGGAAGCTTTGAAAATGAACAACGCATGCCAAAGTCATCATGCACTTTTGTTTTTAAGGAGAATACAGAATGAATAAATTCATGGAATCTTATACTGAGCACAGAACAATATCACTCTTCAAGCATGTGCAATCATTAACTAGAAAGAGTTTATGATGAAGCCACATGCATGATAAGGTTGGAAGAGAAAAAAGGTAATAAGAAAAGAAACAACAATGGAAAGATTAAGAATCATAAATTACCATGAAAGGGGACTTGCCGTTCGATTTATCAGTAAAATATTTGAATATGAACTATTATCTCTGAGTTCAGTCCGGCTGATTCCTTGAACATGTGCAACTCCTCTGGAACCTAATTTCATGCTCTTGGAGAGAGCCCGATGCCACATTTTTGAGTTCTCTAAAATTACTGATACCGTGTCTGATATGCGGTCTAGATCATACAGGGAATCCATAGCACAGGAGCTACCTGTCCACCTAGCAAATGAAACAAATGTCGGCAATAAATAAGCAAAGATCTTCTCACATATCTTATCTGGATTATCTCCATAGATGTTCATGAAACACACAAACAGAGACCTACATTTTATATAATTGTCCTACTTCACTGAGGGTCTGAGCCAAGAACATTGGGATAGAGCAAGATAGCATACTCAATCCAAACATTTAGCTTAAAAACTAATTCTATAGTTGTGGGACAAAAAATTACCTCCCACCCCAAACCAAAGGCATCACTAATAATGAAGGGACAAATTGATCCAAGTTGAACCAATCTAGCCCCAAGTGTAACTAGGAACTTTGTGAAATCATTACCCCCTTGCACAAGGTACTTGGGCATTATTCCTCAGACTTAGGGTGAAACTTTACACTCACATTACTCTCTATTGCTTTCTTCGAGGGTAGGGGAGCTAACAGAAAATCTAGAAAGAAGCAATGAAAATGCAGGAAATATAATGTATGATTATTCATGGGAAGGAAGGGGGAATAATAATAATTAAAAAAAAAAAAAAAAAAAAAAAAAAAAAAAAAAAAAAAACTCACCCTCCCACTGATCTTGAATTCCCTGACAGATCAAAATTCCCTTTCTGATTGTGCATTGGATTGATACACATCCTTGAAGGCATCACGAATGTCCTAAAATGAGGAAAGGACGATTGTATTCTATTTTAGGCATAAAACATTACCATTATATAAATCTTGTACCATAGTCTTCATCACTAAATAGTAAATAGAATGCCAACAAACTTGTGTTCAAATTCACTAAAGAAATACAACTAAAGTTGCAACCCTTAGAGGGGCAAAAGTTCATCCAAAATTAACAAAATGATTTGAGGATTTCAAATGGTATAATTGTACCATAATATCTTGCTTTCAGTTTCAACTAGACAATTTCAATTCATTCAAATTAATGCATATTGCAATAGTAATTGCTAGTCAAATTTCCTACATTGTCCTAAATCATTCATCAATGGTTCAAGCTCAAAAGCCAGCTAAAATTCCGAATCCAAAGCAACCTCCTCTATCAATACACCATTAAACATTTCAAGAAATCCCAAATTATATATTACCAACTTGAATGTAATCTAGCCCAAACCATTAAAACTTCAATCTAGCCAAAATGCTAAGGGGAGACAACGAGAAATCAGATGCTATGTTAAAAGAGAGGGGGGAAAAAGGGATTAAAAAAAAAACAAATAAAGATTCAAATTTTCCTTAAGAATATTACCTCTGCAGAAACAAGGCTTCTTCGAGGGCACAGCGGAGGCTGGACTCTTGATGGCCGAGGCCAGCACAGGTGTCACGGTGCTTTCCGGGACAATCAATTCTGGTGCCCCAAAAGAGGTACTTGTCGGGTGCATTGCGCGGGGGGTTCCTGGAATGCACGACTATGAGGTCCCGCATTCTCCGGGGATTGGAAATTAAGATGCCATTGGTGGAGAACAGGGAATAGTAAAGGTACAGAAGAGCTATGGCTACGACGGTGGATATGAGAAGGAGGACTGGAGATCTGTGTCTCGGCTTCCCTCTGTGGATTCTATGGATCGGCATTTTGCAGCCTTCGCTGGTACGGAAGAAGATGATGTCATTACTTATAATTTCTTGCGTCAGCCTCCATAATTTACTAAATAAATTTTATATACCAGTTAGTCTATACTGAAATATGTCTTTGACATGTTGATTGTTTAATAATCTCTTGAAGGAAATAATGAACCATTTAAACTTGAATATGACAATAATGATATTTTGAGACTAAAAGTTCATTATTTCAGTCCCTTCGAGGACATCCGACGGTATAGAAAAGTCTATTACTTCATTATCGTTGGAGTACCTCTTTAGGGCTAAGTTCTATACTTCTATAATTGTGACAGACTTGCTATTTACGATTAAATTGCTAGCAAAACGTAGTGTTCATCCTACAATAAAATATTGAAATAGTGTTCAACACATCCTCTAATATCTTCGAGTTACTGAATATCTTGGTACTTATGCGATAGATCAAGATATGTTTTTTACGGCTACATGGGTACTAACTATTTTGTTTTATCCCGTGATGTCAAGTCTCAAACCGGTTATGCTATGTTTTTATCCGAATATCGTATATGAGAACAATAAAGCTTGTGTTGCACAAATAATAAATGAGTATGTTTAGGAATATTTGACAAAATATATAGTGTCAAGATTCAACCCATGTAAGCTTTAGAAAAGTCATAAGATTATTATACAAAATATTATTATAGTAACAATGTTGAAGATTGTACAATATCTAATTTCCACACTTAATTGTTTTTGAAAAGTATTTTTATTATATTATAGAGTAAATTACCGAAATGGTCCCTTGACTATAGCGAAATTACCAATTTGGTCATTGACTATTTTTTTTTTGACCAATTAAGTCTCTCAACTTTAAAAATCTTAACCAATTTGGTCCTCCGTTTGTTTGACCGTTAGTCAACCGTTAACTTGGGACCAAATTGATAATTCGCTATAGTCAATGGACCATTTTGGTAATTAACTTTAAGGTGGGCAATTCGGTTCGGTTTTCTCGAACCGAACCGTAACAAACTAGTTAGATTCGGTAATATATCGAACAACGGAACGGTAATAGATTCTTGTATATCGAACGGTTTGGTAAAAACTCGAACCGAACTGAATTGTTCGGTAAAAATCAAGCCGAACCGAATACCGTTTGAACTTTGAATTGCTATTTTGTTATATATTAGACTTTGGATATGGACTATGTAAACACCATAACACATAGTATAGAACTTTTGATAACAAACCATAAAGAAATCAAATAAAACATTTACGAGAGATACTCGTGAGAATATGAGCTGAACGACAGAACAAGCAGCAAGGGACTTAGATTTATTTATTTATTTATTTATTATTATTATTAGAATTATTATATTTAAAAAAAAAATTAAACGGTATTCGTCTCAGTTTAATTTTTTACCGAACAATTCGGATCGGTTTTTTATTAAACCGTTCGGTATACAAGAATCTAATACCGTTCGGTTGTTCGGTATATTACCGAACCCAACTAGTTCGGTTCGGTTCGGTACGGTTCGATTCGAGAAAACTAAACCGAATTGTCCACCCCTAAAGTTAATTACCAAAATGGTCCCTTGACTATAACGAAATTACCAATTTGGTCCCAAGTTAACGGTTGACTAACGGTCAAACAAACGGAGGACTAAATTGGTTAAAATTTTTAAAGTTGAGGGACTTAATTGGTTAAAAAAAATAGTCAAGGACCAAATTGGTAATTTCGCTATAGTCAAGGGACCATTTTGATAATTAACTCTATATTATATTAGAACGTGTAGACTTTGATTGTTATCTTCATGGGGAGCAACATTTACTCGAATTAATCCTGAAGACTAAAAATATTACTCCATTTGTCTCGTTTTATCTGTCATACTTACTATTCATTGGTCAAATCAACTATTTCTTCTTTGTTTATTTTCTTTATTATTTTTTACTTCTTTTTAAAATGATTTTTTGTTGTTTAATAGTACTTTTAGTGTAGTTTCTAAATATATAAATTTTGTACATTAATACTAAACTTAATATTTGAAAACTACACTAAAAGTATTATTAAACACAAAAAAAAAAAAAAATCAAATTTAAAAACAAGTAAAAATACCAAATAAAATAAACAAAGAATAAAGAATTAATTTGCCTAATGAATGGTAAGTAGGACAGATGGAGTATGAGATATGTGCAACTCTACGAGTAGTTTAGTTATGCCATCCTTATTCGTAGCCATGATTAGCATTACCATGAGCATCTTAGATATGAAATTTGAATAAAAGAAAGCATAGTTCCTGTGGATTAAGATATTATAAGATGAATTTTGTATATTTATTCTTCATAGATGAAGATGTTATGGTAACGAAGAAGATAAGGAGGTAATGTTTTTTATATAGATGTCTTAAAATAGAAAATTGAATTATATTACCGTTTTTTCTATATTATTTTTTGTTGATAATAATAATTTAAAAGTTAACTTATGTATTTATTATTAAAATGTTTAAATATAAAAATATTTCACATTATAATATATATAATTAGTTGTTATAGTATAAAAATGTACTAAAATGTTTAAATATAAAAATATTTCACATTATAATATATATAATTAGTTGTTATAGTATAAAAATGTACAGTCAAACTTCATATACTCCATTTTTTAAAGACGAAATTAACGTACAATATTAAACACATGAACTTCACTGTGCGAATGTAAGTGTCACGTCACGTGTGTGTAAACTAATTAAAGTTTGTTAAGCCAAACACGGTTTCATACGGCAGTGTGGAAATGGTCAAAGTCAATAACGACCATGACTGCTTTCTTCCTACTTCATAGAAACTCCTTTTCAACTTCTACAGTACTACCTAGTATTTACCTTTTTTATTGTTTGCTTCGTCCAATGAACAAAATTCATGTCTCAACTTAACTAAAACCTTCAAAGTCAACGTGTTTGTCTATTTTCTAAAGGAATTCATTGTCAAAGTTCCATTGAGATACATCACCTTGTTTCATGAATTAAATAGCACGATTAATTTGAATTTAGAACTAAACAAATAAATAAAAAAAATAACTCAAATCAGTCTAAACAATTTGAAAGTAAAATACCATGTTGTTTTCTTCGAAATCAACCAATTAGAATTAATAGAGTATTCCATCCGTGTATGTAAAGCCAGATGTGCTGCTAGTCATTACAGGATTATACATCTTCACTTGTATCTCTTATTTTGATCTTAATTATTATTGAGGACATTAGAATGTTAGCTAGTGATTTCTGTAACATTAGTTTTATGTTTGTTAAACAATCCGTGAATATGGTTGTTCATGTGTTAGCTAGGGAAATCGTATCGAGTGATCGTAAGGAGTTGAGGATCGATTCTCCCCCTTTCTTCTTTATGTTCTTCCTGCTAATATTTAGTAATGAACTTGTTTGTTTTCAAAAAAAAAAAAAAAAACTAATATAATAGTTTGAATAAACCAGAGAACATGGTTGTAATCCTTGGTCAAATGTGTGTAACTAGAAACCTTACTAGTTACTATAGAGAAAAACTAATGTTGTGAAGAGATTGAGACAAAAAATTATTATTGAAAAAATAGCATAAAATGACATTTTAAGTGTATTTTATGATACAAATATTAGTAGGGTCTACTTCTGATTAAGTCGAGTTAAAGTGGATTCGAAATTTTCAAAGTGAGATAAATAAATCAATATATTGTACGTTTAAAACGGATAACGTATGAATGATAAATTGATTATCTGAGTAGATTTATTTGACTATTCAAATGAAGGTGGTAATAACATAGAAGAAACTTTTGTCCCACGTTGAAAAATAAAGTGGATATGTACTCATATATACACAATACCTTTTTTAGAATTATTTTTTAATTATATAGCTTCGAAACTCTTTGTGAGTATTACACAACTTAAACTTACATAATTATTTATATATGGACCTCTTTTAGTGCTAATTTTCCTTTTTAGTGCTAATTTTCCCATGGCGAAGATCACTATTTATACACTATGGCCCTTACAAGTAGTTTATATGGAGACTTTCTAAATGCAAGTGAGATTCCTAAAACAAGAATAGATAAGTATCAAAAAAAAAAAAAAAAAAAAAAACAAAACAAAACAAAAGCATGATATAGAAAATACTTTCCTTTCATGGTTAAATATTTTGACAATAATTATAACCGATCAAAATTAATACTAAAACAAGTAGTAAGTAAATTGATACAATTTGTTAATGATGAGTCTTACCTAAAAGGTTTTTAATATAAAATGTTATTGCTTTTTTGTATAGGGTATTTATATATTGCTTACTAATAAGAGATTTTTTTTTTTAAAGACTAATAAGAGATTTCTTTTTACTACTTTTAAATTTGCATTTTTCATTGAAAATTTAATAAAACACATTCATATTCAACTCCTTTATAATTTATCATATATAAAATTATTTAAAATTTGCTCAACTTTGTCATAAGATTAGATATAAACTATGCTAAAAGTAATGATTTAAGTATAAATAAATTATAGTATATTATATTTATACTGAGTTACTCAATGATATAAGTAGGTAAATAAATAATAATGAAAGATGATAATAAACGTGTTTATAGGTATGATAATGTAGATTAGTAGGCGGGTGATAATGTTATTCACATTCTTATAATATTTTCGGCGAGTGATAATATTATTCACATTCTTATAATATTTTCTCATTTTTTTAAAGTGAACCATATTATCATATCAATAAACGTGATTTTTTGTTAATACTTTTTTAATTTTCTTAATATTTTATGTTGATTTTGGTCTTGACTATTCAAACCAACATTCTCCACAAATGACACACCTATATATGTATATATTGCCTTCTTCATAGCAGCCTAACCATTTCATACGCAACAACTGCAAACCCCACTACCCAGCAAAGGTCTTTACTCTTCACTTCTCCATATATTTGCTCCTACATTACCTGGTGATCTTTGAGCTCACGGCGAGTAATGGAGAGCCGTAGCAAAGTGGCAACCCACCTGGAGCCGTGGCGGAGCCTTAGGGACAAGGTGGTGATGGTCACCGGAGCGTCGTCGGGGCTGGGCCGAGAGTTCTGCCTCGACTTGGCCAAAGCCGGTTGCAGAATCATCGCCGCGGCTCGCCGAATCGACCGCCTTCAATCTCTCTGCGATGAAATCAACGGGGCTGGTTCCGGTGAGCCGAACTCCAGCCGGCAGCTCACCGCGGTGGCCGTCGAGCTCGATGTGAGTGCGAATGGGCCCGCAATCGAGGCCGCCGTGCAGAGGGCTTGGGATGCGTTTGGCCGTATCGATGCCTTGATTAACAACGCCGGCGTCAGAGGTAATTTCCCGGATCGCCATTCCCTGTGGTTAAATGATTAATATCCGCTTAAATATTCACCTACTTATCTTAAATAGGATATAACAACCAGATACTCAAAAAATTCCATCCACCAATTATAATATTTTTTCAATGAATTAAAAATGATGATAGTTCTCCAGCATTTCTCTTGAAATTTGTGAAATAATTGTTGTTTGGTTTTGCTTATGGTTGTTAAGGATTATAAAATAATGCTAAAATTAGTACTCTCCTTAAGTCAATATTTTTGACTCCTTCATCTGCAATCACAGGAAGGGTACACACTCCACTGGATTTGTCTGAAGAAGAATGGAATAACATCATTAAAACAAACTTAACTGGCACATGGTTGGTCTCAAAATATGTTTGTTTGCACATGTGCAATGCAAAACAAGGAGGTTCTGTCATTAATATCTCTTCAATTGCTGGTCTTAATCGTGGGCAATTGCCAGGGAGCCTTGCCTATGCTTGTTCAAAGGTTGCTGTCAACACAATGACAAAGGTAGCATTCTTTCCATCTTTTGGAGTTTTGGTCAGGATCCAAAGGTTGCATTCATTTGCATGTTCTGTTAATTCTTTAATAGCTGTGATATTAGGTCTGTACTATACTTGATTAATTGGTTGTGTGGTGGACCTTTCATTGGATCACCACTTTAAATAGCAGGAAGGTTTTTCTGTTTTCGTTGCCCCACGGGCCAGTTGGTTCGACCTATCACTTTAAAGTCGCTCCAGGGACAGTGTGGGGGTTCGAATCAACCTGGGGGTGGAAACCTGGGAACTGTCGCGATTTAGCTCTTCTAGAGGCTCTTAGGCAGAGGCTCTAGGGGTTTAAGATTAGTCTAACGTAAGTAGGATATCTAATGTATCAAAAAGAAGGAAGGTTTTTTGTTTTACAGAATGTTAGTGAAGCAGTTTTGCATTAGAAATCATGATTTTGAGCAGACAGTCCTCTGCAGATCCTGTTTGTTGGTATTATATATTTATATGAGAAAGTCAAATGGACATCTCAACACAAATTCATTAAGGAAAATTGAATTATAAGTTTCTTGACATCCAAAAACTTCAATGTATGTGTACTTATGCCTGCTGCAGGGAGCAATTTTTGGTTTTTTTGCATTGCAATTCTCTGTTTTTCTCGGTTTGCTCTCACATAGATACCTATTGTATGCAAATATATAGCAGGCGTAAACAAAATTACCACCATATTTCCTTCTCCATTATCTTGGTTGTCTTCCATTTACAATCCCGGTAATGTTTCACTCTTTACTTCTGCTGATAATTACTCTTATTATTTTCGGTTTCCCCTGAAATTATGACAGATGATGGCCATGGAAATGGGAAAGCATGGAATAAGAATCAACTCAATATCTCCCGGACTCTTCAAATCTGAGATAACGGAGAGCCTCATGCAAAGAGATTGGCTTAAGAACGTTGCTTTGAAGACTGTACCTTTGAGAACATACGGCACATCAGACCCAGCGCTAACATCACTGGTACGATACCTAATCCACGACTCATCTGAGTATGTCTCGGGGAACTGTTACATCATTGAAGCTGGAGCTACCTTGCCCGGTGTCCCAATTTTCTCTTCCCTTTGAAGCAAATGAGAATTAGCTGAAAATAGATAGTCTTAGACAAGGCTGAAATGGTCACACTCCCTATTTTTTGGTTATCATTGAATCATGAACTGTAATTGGTCACAGGAATTCTTGAATAAGATTTTTCCGTTGTGTATGGGTATTAAAAGGAATTTGTTGATGTAATGCTTTCTGCTTTCTTCAAGTGTTTGTTTGGTTCTCTAAGTCTTGTCTTCAACAGTCTGGGCTATGAATTTTGTTGCATTCTACAAAAGAACAAAACTTTCCATGCCAAATCGATAGTTCATTCTCATAATATCTTTTCTATTGCAAAATAATCGATGATAGATCCCTGTTTGTTTGCATAGCTTTGTGATAATCGGATTTGACCTTGCTACTTCTGGATTCAATGTGTAATCTATTTTGGGTAGTAGAGATGGCAACGGGGCGGGAAATGAGGTCCCCGACTCCCCGTCCTCGAATTCTAGAGCCGTAAAAAATGGGTTTTACCCGTCGGGTCGATCCGTCTCATACTGCCGTAGGTAGGGGACGGGTTCTTAAAATTTTGATCCGCCAGGAGGCGGGCTTTTTAGCCCGTCTCGCCTGGGTCACGGGTCCAAGCGGGACGAGTCACGGGTTTAGCCCGCGACCTGCTAATACATATATATTTTGTATATATATTTAGTATTTAATACATATTATTTTTTGTGTTATTTTAGTTTGTGTAATTGTGTTAGTGTGTTATAACTTATAGGATTATAGATTTATAGGAATACAATACTAGGTAGTGTTATTGTGTTAGTGTACTGTACGTCTGTACAATGATTTTTTTTTTTTGAAGGATATTGTACAGTGATTTAAAAAAAAAAAAAAAAAAACTAACACACTGAAAAAATTGATTGGTGGACTAGCCCGCCCCGCCAGCGGGCTTTGGCATGGCAGAGCGGGCTGACCACATTCCAAGCTCGCTAAGCCCGCTAAGAGGCGGGCTTTTTAGCCCGTCCCGCTATGAGGACGGGCTTTGGTGTGTTTTGGCCCATCCCGCCCCGTGAGACCGTTTTGACAGCTCTATCGAATTCATCCCTGTTTTCCGACCCCGTCCCGTTTCTCAACGTGGACGGGAATTATCCCCATCTTCATTCCCGCGGTGATTTTTCGGGGACGACGATTCCAGCCCCAATTTTTTTAAAATACAATTTTCAATTATTAGTACATTATAAAATAATATTTTATTTAAATTATATAATTAATTTATAAATTTATATATTTAATATCCAATTAGCCTAACCTTCAATCATCTAAAAATACAACCAGTACAAAATACTTAAAATATTAAACAATACTAAATCCCTTAACCAAAATACCAAATATCCTTAACTAAATTCTTTAACAAAAATATCAAATATCTATACATAATAACTTGAAAAAAAAAGGTCAAAAGTCCAAATTAAATATTAGTTTAGATAAATATTAGTATATTGCATATAATTATATAATATAATATAATATATATTTTGGGGTCGGGGTCGGGGCGGGGTGCAATCCTTGTCCACGGTGGGGATGGGAAAACTCTCCCCATTCCCCGGTCGACTCGGTATTAGGGTCGGATTGAATTGACATCCCTACTGGATAGTGTAACATGTCCTTTTGAGTTAAACTGATACTGATAGAGTATCATTTCATTGCTTAAAATGATCATCTCTCGTGTTTTAAATTTTGAAATTTGATGTGTTGTAAGATTTGTTAAGTCTCGAATTTTAAAATTTGAGATTTTCAAGTAATTTAAAATAATTATTTGTTGGGTAAAATTTAACTATTGAAACATGATAATAATGATATAACATATTAACTACAAAAATTATCAATGCATAATAGAATAAAACAAAAAATAAAAAATTAAATTAAATTAAACAATATATAAAGAAGATACAAAGAAAACGAGTGGAATTGGACCGGGTCTCCATGCATTAACGGGCCGCTTTAAGGACATGATGGTTTTTTGCGTTTGTTTGTCTTTACTCTCTCTGGACAAGCTCCCACATCGGCTGATGAAACAACTTGCTCCCAGTATTGATACTCCGCCATGGATGCAATGAGTGTCCCTTCGGGGACATCCGATAAAATTGGAACGATACAGAGAAGATTAGCATGGCCCCTGCGCAAGGATGACACGCACAAATCGAGAAATGGTCCAAATTTTTTCTCTTGGCTTGTTCTTCGGTGAAAATACGGTAAGTATTTGCTAAGCTACTCGGGTTTTCCTTTTCCCTAACCTGCTTGACCGCGTTTGGGATTCAAATACATACGATGCTGTTGAGATTGGAAATCCAAATAACCTCTTGTACCATTCCTGGGTCTTTTCACTCTTACCGTTTGCTTGATAGAATTGAATATGTATATAGGTTCTTCATACCTCTAATTGAAATCCAGAGTGGAAAACTATTATGCTATTTCTTGCTCTACTATTGTGCGTGTTTTGTATACGGTCATTAGATTATTGGTAGTTTTTCAAGTTGCAATTGAATTCATTCTATCTTAATAAACAATGAAATTTCATATGTGTTGCAGTGAATTCCAGGTGATATATCTCTTAAGTTTAGTATGAGGAATGAGTAAAAATACTGTAAAATATTGAACTGGGAGTTCTGATGGTTCACTAACATTCATAATTATGTATCAGATGGCACCTGGTTGTAGTAGATGTGATATGATAAGTAGTTTTCTTCTTCTTTTCATATATAAATGTGAAACACTTAAAAAAATATTATGATGTATGAGTCATGAGTGTTATCATTCTTTTAGCTTTCCTGCTACGGGGATTTCATAGCTGAATTATGGTCGACAATTATCTGTTTAATGTTTCGAAACCTGAATTCCTGAAGTTGATTCCTTTCAGAAAACAGTTATCAATTAGCTTGTGGGGTCTGGGTGCTTTGGTTAGGAAGGCAGAATATCTATTAGTCTTGTTTCTCTTAATACTCTGCGAATTCATTGCTAGCTTGTCCCTTCAACAATAATTTAAAGGTCAATCTTCTCAAACCTCTGTGCTCTGTACAAGTAAAGATGTGATTGACATCTAAATCACCATGTAGTTTCTGTAATTCTTCTCTGTCCAGGAGCTGAATGTCCATGATCTAGTATAGAAAATGGGAAGAATTAAGAATATAAAATAAACTACTCCATAAAGCAAAATCTCTTTTAGATTTGTTGTTCAGAATAAATTATAATTTTGAACTATGAATGCTGATAAATTATACCCATTGCTGTGGAATATGTGACTTGTAATGGCATGCTGTCTATGTTCATCTAACTGCATGGTTCTTAGAGTTGTATGCGATTTCAAGTGCTGAAGACATGATTTACGTATAACAGTCTAATAGATTTAGTGATTTAACACATGTAATTCCACTAAAGGCATTTGTTGTACTTATAAATATATGTGCCCATTATTGTAACATTTGACAAACAATTGTCAAGTCTTACAAACACAAGAAAGCTGGCCTTTTCTTCTCCTCTATTTTTACTCAGCTGTTCTTGCCTGTGGAAGAATCTATAAGGCATGAATGGTTTAGTACTGGTATAAAACTACTTCCTACAACCCACAACTCCATTCTCCATCCTATTGACCACAAATTGAACTTTGTAATTGTTTGAAGTTTGCTGGGAGTAATGGTGGTCATGCTGCCGCTATCATTGTGATCAAGAAGCTGAGTCTAGTGAACGGGACCAGAGAAAAAAGATAAATCAACCCCAGTATTCTTCTCACTTCCCTTCGGCCTTCTCCCTGCTGCCAGTTTAATTGTATTAATTATTTTTTCATGTTCTTGTTCTTTAATGTTGCGGTAATCTTAAGGAAGTCTCATTGGTAAATCAATAGGTTTTTAATATAATAACCCCCAGTAATATGATTTTATGTTAGTTGAAATACAGTGTGACTATATGACCTCTGAAATCATAGTACCAAAAAAGAATATACGCCGCCATGGAAGGACTGAGCATCCCTTTGGGGACGTCCATTAAAATTGGAACAAAACGAAGAAGATTATCATGAACCCTGTGCAAGGATGGCATGCACAAATCGAGAAATGGTCCATTTTTTCCTCCAAAACACCGTAAATTTTATCTTCTATATTATTTGGATTTTTTTTCTCCTAGTTTTCATGAATTTAATCTTCTATGTTTTTGTGGGGTTTTGCCCAAATTTTTGTGAATTTAATCTGCTAATTTTTTGGGAATTTCCCAGTTCTTCTGAACTGCATTAGATGGGATTACTCAATCTGCAAAACTCGGGTTGAAACCATTGTACGAGTGATTTTATTTATTTATTTATTTTTAAATCAAATTTCTAGCTTTCTTTGTCCCTTATTTTTATTTTATGTGAATGGATGAAGTTGTGGATTGTCCGAAACTCAGGGAATTCATCCATATGCACAATTGTGTGAGCCCATGTTTTGTATTCTGTCATTTGATTCTTGATTCTGTAGCGGGTTGCCAGGCACTTTAGGCTATAGTGGTTAAGTTATTGTTTGCATTTTTCATGAAGATTTGAAATGTTTTATTGTGATGTTTATGCTCGAATCACTGTTGCATTGAATCTTACTTGTAGTTGAATGCTGGAGAGTTTGAGCGTTTCAAATACTGAAATTTGACATTTGCTCTGCAGTTCGTATAGTCCAGTACTCCAGTCTTCCCACCACTCCCTTTCTTAATTTCATACCTGAATCCAATCATGATTGACAAGAAGTCATAAAGGTTCCCACGCTTTTGCCAAGTTGGAAACCGGAGATATGTGTTTGCACCTGAAGTTGTTTCCTTTTCAGAAAGAAAAGCTGGTGAGGGTGTCTTCTTATGGTTCCAGTCAGTCTCACAGGTTTCACATTTATGGAACTCTCCCAGTATAAGAATAGGGTGCTAGTCTGATACTGGTGCTGTGGTCCAGAAGATGGAATGTCCATAGTACGTCTTATTGCTCCATGCACTACACAGATAAAACTAATTTTAGAGGTAAATCTGCAACCTCATTGCTTGTCAACTTTGGCAATAGTAATTCTGCAAACATTCATATTGTTATGGGTTACCCGGCACCTGGCTGTAGTGGGTTGATTATTATTATTATGTGTTCTTTTTATTGTAGATGTGAGGTACAGTATGTACATATATTGCTATTATATTTGAATGCATAAGACATGTTGGATTTGAGATACTTGTAATACATTTTGGATTTTCATTTGCTCTAGTATCTCTCAAATTGGGTTATCTATTTCCTTTTCATAAAAGGCTTTAATTTAACTTTGAAAACACCTGATAAATTGTTGCATTTGTTGATCAGATTGTCAGTCATGATCATCAATAGAAATACCACCATCTATCATATCCTCCTTGTACAATATTTTGGCTGTCTTGTATTTTTTTTTTTATTTTTTTTTTTTGATAATTAATCAGCTGGGTGATGTTTCACCCTCTTCTTCAGTTGATAATCATTTGTTTCTTTGCTGGTTTCCCCTGAAATGATGACAGATGATGATGATGGCCATTGAACTGGGAATTCTGAATTCATTCATGGCAAATATGAGAGATGATGGAGAACCAACCTCATACAAAAGAGATTGGTTTAAGAATATTGCTTTGCTTTGGAGATTGGTGTCTCAATTTTGTCTTCCCTTTTGAAGCAAATGTTAATTAGTTGAACTATTATTTATTGAAAAAAATAGCTCTTAGAAAATAATGCTGAAATGTTGACAATCCCCTTTTATTTATTTATTATTGTACCCAAACTGTAACTTGGGAGAGATGGATCAGATATTCTTAATGTAGTATTCTTGTCCAGTCTTTCAACTTTGTACCAATTGAAATCTTGTTCAGTCTTTCTTGATGTAGTTATGCACATAAAATTTTACAGTGTTGATCATTGCTGGTACCAATTGTATTCGTATTGGGTACAAAAATGGTAGTATTGGCTGTGGAGGGCACTGCCTTTGATATTACTCAATTTGGGGTCACTAGAAAAGGTCACACTTCCACCTTCACAGAAGAAAACATCAAGAGCTCTTGCAAGTAACCACACTGAGTCATAAGCATAGAGAGCAAACGAATTAAACCCCGAGGCTTCTTTCTCACTGAAACTTCTCCAACGCGATGCAAACCTTTTCTTCTGATCAGAATCAGGCGTGTGATGGCGAAGAGCAACTACCCCACGCAGGAGATCCATTGTCTCGAAATTGACTGTTTGTGAAGAGTCTAAAACAGAAGGAATCCAATCTGTAGCAATCCAGACATAGCCACTTCATATCATATTCAGGCTCTTTGCTTCTGAGAAAATATTTAGCCCAGAATCAGGATTTACATGCACCACATAAACTCGCGATTCCATCAGGTTCACATTGAACAACAAGGTATTGATCTCTTCTCTGGTGGCTCCGGGGGGTAAGGCTGCCTTGTAAGAAATCTTGGCACGTTTCGCAGCAAGAGCATCACCCAGAACAGATATCCCATTTCTGCCATTATCATCATCAACAAATATGGCAATCACCTCCTTCCGTCCAAAGTACCCTATGAGATCAGCCACAGCCAGCATTTGGAAGCGATCATTTGTGACAGTGCGCAGAAAGAAAGGGTTCTGCAGAGAATTGAGGGTCGGGTCTGTTGCCCCAAATGATAAAAGCGGGACTCGAAGCTCATTCACTATATGCGATATTACATGCGCTATTCCTGAGGATTACGGCCCAATTGCAGCAACTATGTTGCTTTCCATCACCTGCAGAGCTACAAAAACACAGCATGATGAGAATCAAATCTGTTGCAGATAGAATAAGAGCTTAACAAGTGCAGATAGAATAAGAGGGGACCAAAACTGGACAAGAAGATGGACATCATAGCAGAGCAGGTAAAGAAATACCATCAATCATTCCAATGAATCCACTGCTTATCCTGCATTATGAAGTTCAGCTTAGTGCCATTGAGAATGGTCGAATCAGAATTGACATCATTTGCTGCAGCTTCCAGGGCAGGCTTCACAGACTCGCCAATAACCGAATGGACTGTGAACATAACCCCAACATTCACCTCCTTTGGCCTAGAAGACGAAGGAGCGGTGTCGGTTTCATTCCCTCCAAGGACTCATTAAAAAGCTCTGGAGTAAACATTTCTCATATGTAAACTTCTTAGTTTGAATAAATCAAATGAAACATGGATAGAAGAGGATTGGCACATGTGATCACTCCTTTCTCAATTCCTTCTCCTCTAAGCATATACCCTTCTACATGGATATACAACCCAACAAAATCATACTATATTGGTAATGGATCTACCCAATACTCTATTTACTTTGCCAAGTACCTTCTAGTCTAATAGTATAAGCCTCCCGAGATCAACCTTTATTTCCCTTGAATTATATCCGACTATCGTATCTTATGTCTCTATTAACAATATTGCATTGAACTGTTTGGTTGATTCATATTTCAACCATTAATGAAAGGCCAAAGGTCAAATGAATGCAAAATCATCTTCCAATATGAAATTGTGTGTAGTAAAGAAAACAGCCCTTTTCATTTTCATATGAAGACTACCTAGCAAAGAATAAAGAAGCTCAGTTTCATCATGAGATCTATCACCAGCCACAAAAACATGAACCCTATTTGCTACTTCAATCCAACTACAACCTGGCTGCTTTCTCAATCCTCTATCCTTCATTTTCCCCTGCAGTTTTGCAGCTTCTTTCCAGTTCCCACTTGAAGCATATATGTTCGATAGCAGCATATAAGTACTAGAACTTTCTGCAGCCACCTGGTCTACCTCTAGGAGTTTTTCTCCTGCCAGTTTCCCGGTTTCTTGGTCCCCATGAACATTACATCCTGAAAGAAGAGCTACCCAAATCTTTGCAGGTAGCTTTGCTTGGAGTTGTTCCATGAACCGATAAGCCTCTTTGAGGTTTCCTGCTCGACTGCAGAGATCAACGAGGCATGAGTAGTGATGGTCACCAACCTCTATGGACTCATCTCTCATAAGCTGAATAAAGTAATTTAACCCTTCCTCAACTAATCCCGAATGGCTGCAGGCAGCAAGCAACCCCACATAAGTTACATCATTTGGTCTGAACCCCATCTTTTGCATATCTTTGAACAAATTGATTGCTTCCCTACCACATCCATGGTGAGCATATGCTGCAATCATTCCATTCCAAGAGACCAGATCCATCTGGCCTCTTAATCCATCATCAAATATTTTCCTGGCAGTTGACAGCTCTCCACATTTTGAATACATGTCAATAAGTCCAGAAATGACCAATTGGTTATCTTGATAAACTGTCTTGCTAATTACTTGGTGAATTTGCATCCCTTCACCCAGACCAGCTAAGTTACTACAAGCACTCAAAACACAAACGAAGGTCCCTTCATTTGGTTTTACCCGGGTATCCCACTGCATATCACTAAAAGTTTCTATGGCTTTTTCACTTTGGCCATTCTGCACAGAGCCATTAATCATCAATGTCCAAGAAACTACATCTTTTCTCGGCATTTCATTGAACAACATTCTTGCACTATTCATGTCCTTGTTTTCTATAAAACCAGAGATCATTGTATTCCATGAGAGAACACTCTTTTCAGGCATCCTCTCAAATAGTTCAAATGCTTCATCAAACCTCAAATTCTTTATGTACCCAGTAATCATTGCATTCCAGGAAACCACATTCCGCTCTGGCATCCCCTCAAAAAACATTCTTGCCTCATCTACTCTCCCATTGCTTGACAACCCAGAAATCATGGTAGTCCAAGAGACCACGTTCCTTTCTGACATTTGATCAAAAATCCTCCATGCCTCATCAACCCTTCCACATTGAGTTAGTCCTCCAATTATCATATTCCAAGAAACTACATTCCTCTCTTCCATATTCTCAAAAAATGCCAAAGCCTCATCAATTCTACCAGCTTTCACATACCCATTAATCATACTATTCCAAGATACCACATTCTTTTCCGGCATCTCCTTGAAAAGCCTCTGAGCATCTAAAATTTGATTCCCCCTCATATACCCAGCAACCATAGCTGTCCAAGTTACAACATTTCTCTTAGCATCACCTCTATCAAACAACTCCCGAGCTTCATTAATCATGCCACAACTTATGTACCCCGAAATCATAGCTGTCCAGGAAATCACATCTGGATCAGGCATTTCATCAAACACTCCTCGTGCTTCAATGACACGACCATCTTTGCATAGCCTTGTGATCATCGAATTTGACCTTGCTACTTCTGGATCCAGGGTATAATCTATTCTGGGTAACGTAAAGCACTCCCTTTTGGGTTGAGAGACGTAGTAGCATTGCTTAAAATGATCATCATGCCGAAGTTCAAGATTTGACAGAGAGTTAATGAGAGCTCGCAAAGGGGTGAAAATGGCCAATCTTTTAGTAGAGCTCAAAAATGATGATCGAAAAGGCGTAAGCATATCAGCTCTACATTTAATTATAGAGCGCCACTAAAATGAAAGCATGAAATCCATGAATTATTGATTTATTACATTAAAAAAAAAACCGTAAAAATAAAAGTTACGGAGTAATAAATAAACAAAATTTAAAGAATTTTTTAAAATTTTAAAAATAAAAACCACGAAATTTGGGCCGGGCCTCCATGCCTTTATGGGCCGCTACAGAACGCTAACATGTATTCGGTTTACGCTGTAGTCGCTTAACTCGTCTGCTCCCACATCGGCACATGAAGCAGCTTGTTTCCAGTACATATACTCCACCATGGAAGCACATACCGTCCCTTCGGAGACATCCGATAAAATTGGAACGATACAGAGAAGATTAGCATGGCCCCTGCGCAAGGATGACACGCACAAATCGAGAAATGGTCCAAATTTTTTTCCAAACCAAAAATCCAAGAACTACAACTGCTAATTTGTCCCCAGATTTCGTGAATATAATCTGGGGATTTTCCACTTTTACTGAAATGCGGGCACTGGATGCGTTTTCAATCTGTTAAACTGGGTTTGCAATCCTCGTAATAGTGATGTTTTCGATGTACCTTCCATACGATTCTCCGGTCAGTCTTTCTTAATTTCCGTTTGTTTTATGAAATTGATTATGTTAGGTGTTAGGTTCTTCGTACTTGTGATTGAAAACCAGAGCGGATGCTTTTATTTTTATTTTTTATTTTTCCCAAATTACACAGGCTATAGTGGATTGGTTTTTTTTTTTTTTTTTTTCTTCATGGAATATGTGAAATGTTATGTTGTGTTGTTTGTGCTCCTATACTGTTGCTTTAATTTGCACCATACATGGAGTTGAACATATGCCAGAGAGCTTGAGAGTTTGAATAACTGTTCGAAAATTTGGCATTTGTTGATCTGCAGTTTCTGTAGTAGTTTTCACACCACTCCCTTTCTTGATTTCATAGCTAATTTAAGCTAAATCATGGCTGAAAATGAGGTCATAAAGATTCCCACACGTATGCCGCCATGTTGGACACCAGAGATATGTATTTCACAACTGAAGTTGTTTCCTTTTCAGAAGAAAAAAGTCTGGGCTTTATAGTTTAGATGAGTCAAAATTGTCTTAATGTTTAAATTACTAGTTTCTATACTTCTTTTATACGTGGTGGTTTACATGGTCTGAAGATCAATGATCGAAAGTTGGCTGAAAATAAACTGTAGGCATGATGACTATAGATCGATATGTGATTGATAAGAATGCTGGTGATTGAGGTTTTCAAATACTGAATATATGACTTGAACATGATAGCCATCTTCTTGTAGTTGAATCTTTTCTTAGAAGATATCAATTTCTCCTTGATTCCGCAAATTCATCACATGCAAGTTTAGAGACAGTAATTTAGAGCTCAATCTATTCTATACTCTCTTCTTATGCAAGCCAAGATTTCTGGCCTTCATATCAAATTTACTATTAATTATTTATAACTCTCTACATGATTCATTCTACTGGTTAAGTGACATATTTCTTGGGAAAATGAAGTTGATTTGGTTATATTATGGTGCAAATTAAAGCCTCAGCTTTTCATTCTGTTATACTTTTCAGTTGCTCAACACTCTCTGGTTAAACTCTGATTATCAAAACCTGCTGGAATCATTGCTTCTAGAAATTGTAATCAGCTTATATGCATTGTATGGAGGAGTAGGCACAAACTGCATAGTAGAGATTATCTATGAACCCAAAAAAAAAATAGTAGAGATTGTCTAGAAATAAAATTCTCTCTGATATTTCTTCTCTAAAATAACTGTGTTCTGAGGGTAAAATGGTAGATCACAGCCTTTTCTGCATCCGTTACTGGGCGGGGTTGAGGTTTACAGGAACCCTAAACCATAAACTAGTAATTCAAATTTGTTAATAATAGTTTCAATTCTTTTGTTGGTCTATTTTGATTCTCTATAAGTGTTTCAATTATATAAATCATCTTTTGGAATTCTTTATTGGTACTAGTTGATTATTTTAGCAACCCTTTAGTTATGAATTTCTATCAGTATTTCTTAACTAAACTACGGAGTATTTCCAAAGGAATCTTCTTACAGTGTTGTACACATTGAACAAATTATGGCTGCAAATGTGGGTACTCTAATCCCATTTTATTGCATATGGTTTTTGTCCTTAGCTTATTTCTTGCTCCACTTGTCATGGTTATTCCTAGAATACATTTACTCTTGTGCATGTATGTAAGAACCATTTGTTGTTGGACCCTTAAACCATAAACTAGTAATTCTAGGACTGGATTTGAAATCTACTCTGTATGTTATTCTTAAAGTCTTGTAGTTTAGTCATTCACAAATTGTATCTTTCTTGATCTGAAACAATGACAGATGATTGCCCCTGAACTGGAATAAGTGTATGGAATACAAGTGAAGTTAATATCATTTGGGATGCTGAGAAATTGGCTTACTGATATCGCTTTGAACTATGAAGGATGATAACATATGCCACATCAGACCCGGCACTCACATCATACGATATCTTATCCACAGCTCACCCCCCAGTATGTTGAGGAGTTCTTATGTTATTGAAGCTGGAGCAACCTTTCCTTAGTTAGAACTCCAATTTTCCAGTGTCTTTAATAACATAGTCATTGGTAATAAAGAGGTATTGAGAAAGAATGAAATGTTACAAGTTCTTCAGTCCAACTGTGTTTGGAATTTGGAAACTTTAGCAGTCCTAAATTTCCTGAAATATTTTGCATTAAGATTGTTGTGAAGTTTACTTTGTTACTTTGTTAGTTTCCTCCACCTCATTTTTCTTTTGTCAATTAGATAATTACAATTCAATTTTTTATAATATTTAGTATTGGTATATATATAAAGTTTTTATCTTTAGAAACTAAATAAAGAGTATCATTAAATATCAAAAAAATTAAACTTAAAAATTTTAAAAATACTAAAGAGAATAAGTAAAGAAGAAAAAGTTAGTTTAGCCTAAATAAGACAAGTAAAATGAGACGGAAATACATAGTATAAGTATTATGCTGTTAATACATGATCGTACCAAATATGATTGGTATCGATTTTGACAAGCATTTTAGATTTTTTTTTTTAAATTTATTACATATAATAACATGAGAATTTTATTTTTACAAAAAAAGTGAGTATACACTAGGTAAATATTTTTAATATAATTAATGAACATGTTAAGTGCAATTAACAAGAACTAAATATAAACGCCAATAGTACTTCAAAAAAAAAACTCCAAAAAAATGAAATAAATTTTATTAGAAGGATAATATTGAAAACTGGTTTAAATTAGAGAGTTAAATGAAGAAGGATATATGTAGACAAAATAATTCCACAAGAAAAGAAAACTACATAAATAAATATAAACAGAGAAAATATTACGTTTGCTAAAAGTTAAACCCAGGTCAATTACTTGAAAGGCAATTATCCTAACCATTGGACTACAAACACTTCTTGTTCATTGTACACAGACTAGTGCTTCAATTCATCACAAAATATGTAGACAAAATAATTCCACAAGAAAAGAAAACTACATAAATAAATATAAACTGAGAAAATATTACGTTTGCTGAAAGTTGAACCCATGTCAATTACTTGAAAGACAATTATCCTAACCGTTGGACTACAAACGCTTCTTGTTCATTGTACACAGACTAGTGCTTCAATTCATCACAGCAGAGGTCCCCAAAACGTAGAACTTTCATAGGGTTCAACTGATCTACAACTCCATTTTAGGAAAAACCCACCAGTCGAAAATGGAAAAACGAAAAAAAAAGATGGGAAGCATGTCAGATAGCCAAGAGGCCATCCCAGCCGCGGCTAGACGGCTAGGAACAATCCTCGACGGCTCCGCCCGGTGAAGGTACGGTGCTGTTACTCACGCTCTAGCCTCTTGGCCATGATTCATCCACCAAGCTTAGTTTCTTGTCTCCTTAGAACTCAAGGATACAGAGGTACGAGCCTATAGAACAGATCCTGTTCAAGTAAGGTCGTGGCTAACTCTCGCAAATGGAAACTTATATTTTGGTTTCAAGTTTGATAGCTGCCCGATGTGGGACATTTTAATTTCTCAGTTTTGGTTGTTGAACTGAGACTATCTACTAGACTAGCGCAAATGGAAGCACTAAGGGTTTAATGGAATTCCGAAGCTGATGGTTTGATAAACAGTTATTATTCATCATCGAGGTCAGTTGGCAATTTCTTCAATTCCCCAGTTCATACGTTTTTGCATTTTTGTTCTGTTTCGAAGAAGATTAGCATCTCAATCGCTTCATAGTTGTGTAATATTCCGTTAGGGATTGGAACGATACAGAGAAGGTTAGCATGAATGATAGGCACAAATCGAGAAATGGTCCAAATTTTTTTTCCCTAAAAACCCTGCCATGGATCCCTTGTTCCCCTGTGAAAATTCGGTAAGTATTCCCTAAGCTGCACTTCAGCTTTGGATTTCCTTAAATTTTTTCATCAGATAAAATCTTGCAAACTCATTGCTTGTCAAGTTTTTTGGGGCAATAGTTTAAAAGTCATTGCTGCCAGTGAAATGGTATTAATTATTTTTTTCATGTTCTTGTTCTTTTAATGTTGCAGCAATCTTAATGAAGTCTGATCAATAAGTTTTTAATATAATAACTCCCAGTAATATGATTTTATGTTATGGGAATCCTGAATTCATGGCTAATATGAGATGATGATGGAGAAAGGTGATGCAAAGAGATTGATGGCTCCATACTTTTCTCTTCCCTTTGAAGCAAATGTTAATTAGTTGAACTATATTTATTGAAAATAAATAATGGTCCTAGAAAATAATACTAAAATGTTTATAATTCCCATTTTTTATTTATTATTGTACCCAAATTGTAATTTGGTAGAGCTTTTTATTAGATATTCGTGATGTATCCATGTCCTATTTAAGGATTTCAACGCATTTTCACTTGAACATATACATATAATTTTAGTAAGCAATTTTCTTTTTTTTTTTTTCTATTGCAAAATTCATAGATTAAATTATTTAATTATCTATAATGTATAGCCATTTGGAAATGGGTTTAAGGAAAATAAATTTTATTACTTGGATGATATTGAAAAAATATATATTATATTATGAATAAATGTTTACTTTTAATATATTGAAGGTACATTATTTGAATATTTGATAATATATCAAATAATGAACCTTCAATACTTACCTAATGTACCTTTAAAAGGTGAATTTTTAGTATATTAAAAATATATAAGATAGATCATGGTACCTGGTATAATGATTGTATTGAAATGGTTTAAATATATGTGGACAAACATAAATAAATATAATATTTTTTAAGAAATGGAGAAAATATTTATTGTATACACATTACAAATTTTGGACTGGGCTTATATGCTTTGATGGGCCGCTATGGTCGGTCTTCACTCTTCAGTTCTTCACTAGTATATCTTTTCTCTGTGCAGCTCGCCAGCTCCCACATCGGGCGATGAACCAGCTATCTTCCAGTACATATAGTTCGCCATTGAAGAACAAGAACGTCCCTTCGGGGACATCCGATAAAATTGGAACGATACAGAGAAGATTAGCATGGCCCCTGCGCAAGGATGACACGCACAAATCGAGAAATGGTCCAAATTTTTTTTGAACCCAAAATCTGGGAATTTAATCTGCTTTTCTGCTAATTTTTTGGTGATCCCCCCTTCTTCTGAATTGAATTTGGCATGCTGTTTCCTCTATCCGATCTCCTGATGAGGGACTTATTCAAGATGCCATCATTAACAGGCTGTGCAAAATCCAATTTTGTTAATCGTATAAAGCTAATGATTGAATGAATTTGTGGATTATAATTTTGATAAACTTCTAGCTGATTATGCTACAAATTGGATTGAATATTCCAGTTATTTTCCCCCAATATTTCAACGAAATTGTCTGCTACTTTGTTGTGATTTTCCACTTATTCTTAGATTCCTTTGGTGTTTTCAAGGAGTTCCTCAATAGACTAAAACTGGGTTTTGTATCATTTTGTTTTGTTTATTTGTTGTGGCAAGTATACAATGCAATCACAACTCAGACTGCCTTTTATGGCAGCTCTCTCTTTTTGTTCTGCTTCCTTTTTGCTTTTTTGTGCTATCACTATATATATAGGGTTGAAAAATTCTCAAATTAGAGAAGAAAGCCAAATCAGACCATCTACCCCTGCATTTCCTGTTAAATATGCATGATGTGGCTGTTCTTTTGGACTCAGAAGTGTTCTAGCCAACCAATTGTTAGTTCAACAGATTAATAGAAGGTTAGTATTAGCTACTGACTTTTAATACTTTCCTTCTTTTGAGCTTTTCTTTGGTGATTTCAATTAAGGGGCATGTATTCTCTTTTCAGGTAAAATATTTGTGATCGGAGCAACCTCAGATTGTTGGCTTGGTAACCATAATGTTTCAAGTTTGACTCTGAGTAGGAGCCTATTGGCATGTGTTGGCATTTGGGAATTTCCATGGTTTCTCAATCGAGATGCATAACATCCGATCAAATTGATGATCAACTAAATTCAACAGCTTCTGTGCAATGCAAGCCTGCTCCATCTGGTTAGTTTTGTGATTGTCTTATAATCTTATATTGTATCTTCGGTTGGTCCCAAGGATCTATGAACTCTTTACTGTGGTTTTCAAGTCATATACAGACATAGATCAGCATTTACTAATAATATAACCTTTGTTCATGTACAAAACAGAGTTCCTCAACCTTATACGTGAGAACATTCCTTCGGGGACATCCGATAAAATTGGAACGATACAGAGAAGATTAGCATGGCCCCTGCGCAAGGATGACACGCACAAATCGAGAAATGGTGCAATTATTTTTTATTCTTTTTACCTCAGAAATCCTGACAATTTAATCTGCTTTCTTGCTAATTTTTGGTGATTTCTTCAAGATGCATGCCATCATTAACATTTAACAGGCCTGTGCAAAATTATAATTTTGACAACTTCTACTGCTTATGCTACAAACTGGAGTGAATAATCTATTTATTTCCCCCCAATATTTCAACGAAATTGTCTGCTAATTGTTTGGGATTTTCCACTTATTCTTAGCTACTCTTAGACTCATTTTGTGTTTTAAAGCAGTTCCTCAATAGACTAAAACCTGGTTTTAATTCCTTGTATCATTTTTTCTTTTTGAGGTTCGAATTCTTTGAAATAGTTGCTCAGGTGTGTAACACTCAAATCTTAGGATTTTTGGTTAATTTAATAATTGGGTTTGGTTTATTTGTTACTTTTTCCAGTTGAGTCGAGTGTTGTGGTAGAGGCATGTTTGGCTATTTGGGTTAGCTTTAATGGTTTAAGTTAGGCGGTATAATTCAGCTGTTAACGTGTTTCTGGTTTAGTATGTTCTTGAACAGCTAAAAGAAAATATCATTTATTGCGCTATGAAATATCATGAACTTTTGTTATTTGGATGCTGAATTGCATCCCAACAAGAATAGCAAAATCAGCTTAGCAAAATTTTTATGAGTAGCTTATTTTGTGAATTATATATATGCTTATTGTAAATTAATGATCACCTTTTAAAGTGCAAGCCCAAATGCATCACCTTATTAATGATCAACTTCCAAACAATTAACAACCTAAAAATTTGCAGTTTTTAGTTTTTAGTTTTTTTTTTTTTTTTTTTTTTTTTTGTTTTTTTTTTTTTTTTAACATTGAATATGAGCTGGAGAATAGTGTTTCTGGTTCTGATAGATTGGATACTAAGGTGGTTATAATCTGATTGGTATTGGAAAGAAATCCTTATGCACAATTCTTTAGAAACTTAAAGGATATCGATGACTTCATAGATTATGGGATTGTATCATGTTCTGATTCTGGCTTGGATTAGCATGTATCACAGAGCTTTCCTTCACAGCCATGTATGCTTTGGTCATTTATGAGTTTCTGAAAGAATTTACCATTGCCACAAAGGAACGGAACGGCAACATACCAATGCATCATTTTTGTTGATCAACAGTATGAGGGGTTGCGATTATTCTTCTATGTTTTGTGTGATGTGGAAATGCAGTGCGTGTGAAGCAAAAGTGTCGTTATTACGAAGGTTTGTACATACATTTCTTCTTCTTTTTTTATACTGTGTTCTATGCAGGAATCTTGCTTTCAATGAGGTAGAATTTAAGTCTGCCTGTCCAAATCAAAGAACCCGAAAAAACCCCTCCTTTCATTCTGTAACTTGGAGCTTCAAGTAGTGTTTCAGCTACCATCCACTTCGATCTGCTCTATACAACCCGATAAATTGTTGCATTTGTTGATTAGATTGTCAGTCATGATCATCAATAGAAATACCACCATCTATCATATCCTCCTTGTACAATATTTTGGCTGTCTTGTATTTTTTATTTTATTTTTATAATTAATCAGCCGGGTGATGTTTCACCCTCTTCTTCAGTTGATAATCATTTGTTTCTTTGTTGGTTTCCCCTGAAATGATGACAGATGATGATGATGGCCATTGAACTGGGAATGATGGAGAACCAACCTCATACAAAAGAGATTGGTTTAAGAATATTGCTTTGCTTTGGAGATTGGTGTCTAAATTTTGTCTTCCCTTTTGAAGCAAATGTTAATTAGTTGAACTATATTTATTGAAAATAATGCTAAATGTTGACAATCCCCTTTTATTGTACCCAAATTTTACTTGGGAGAGATAGATATTCTTGATGTAGTAATCTTGTTCAGTTTTCCAACTGTGTGATTGTTTTCTGTTTTGAGTGTTTTTCTCCTCCACCTTGCCTTATAGGTTAGTTATGCACATATAATTTTACAGTGTTCATCATTGCTGGTACCAATTGTATTGCTGGTGCAAATTGTATTCGTATTCAGTACAAAAATGATAGTAGTGAATATTATTGATAATAATTTTTATCAATATCATAAAATTAAAAAATTAAAAAAAAAATCTTCACAGTAAATTTTCTATTGCAAAATATTCTATGTAATATTATGTCAATAAAAAAATGGAGTAAAAGAAAATAAATTTTATTACCAGGATAATATTGAAAATTTCTTTAAACTTCTATATTTCCAGGATTCAATAAAGAAGGGTATATGCACAGAAATATAAATCCAGGAGAAAATAAAACTATATAAATAAATAAATAAAATATTTATTGTATACACTTTTCGGAATTAATAAATTGGTAAATTTGTATTTCAAAAAAAAAAAAGGTAAATTTGGATTGGGCCTTGATGGGCCGTTTAGGAGCCGTAGGCCCGTAGCCTTCTAATTTACAGTACTTCTGTTACGCTGTAGTCTCTTAACTCATCAGCTCCCACATCGGCACATGAAGCAGCTTGTTTCCAGTAGAGATAGACCGCCATGGAAGGAGAGAGCGTCCCTTCGGGGACATCCGATAAAATTGGAACGATACAGAGAAGATTAGCATGGCCCCTGCGCAAGGATGACACGCACAAATCGAGAAATGGTCCAAATTTTTTTTGAAACCAAAATCTGGGAATTTAATCTGCTTTTCTGCTAATTTTTTGATTTTTTGATGACTTCCCCCAAAAAACCCTGCCATGGATCCCTTGTTCCCCTGTGAGGCTGTGAAAATTGGGTAAGTATTCGCTACGATGCTATTGGGATTGGAAATCCTTTTAACCTCTTGTATCATTCCTGGGTTTTTCGCTCTTACCGTTTGTTTGATAGAATTGAATGTGTATATAGGTTATTGAAATCCAGAGTGGAAACCTATTATGCTATTTCTTGCTCTATTATTGTGCATGTCTGTCTTGTGTTTTATATTCTGTAATTAGATTGTTGGTAGTTTTTGAAGTTGCAATTGAATTCATTTTATCTTGGTATACAATGAAATTTCATATTTGTTGCAGTGAATTCCAGGTGATATATCTCTTTTAAGTAACTTTAGTATGGGGAATGAGTAAAATATTGAACTGGAAGTGCTGATGGTTCCCTAACATTCATAATTATGGCTTGTTTGGCACCTGGTTAGTAGATGTGACATGATAAAGTAGGTTTATATGTTTGAAGACCTTTTTTGTTTATTATTAATGTGAAGCACTTAAAAATATGATGATGTATGAGTGTTATCATTCTTTTAGCTTTCCTGCTACTCCCACTCCTGATTTCATAGCTGAAATGTGGTGGAAAATTATGTGTGTTTAAGGTTTTGACACTTCTTACAAGTAGGACGTGATAGGTAGCAATTCATTCTTCATAACCTGAAGTTGATTCCTTTCAGAAAACGGTTATCCAAGTTGCATGTTTTTGGTATCAATTACAATTAGCTTACATATAAGCAAAATGTATTTTACATTTGAGTTTGCTGTTCAGAATATATCATAATTTTGAGCTATGAATGCTGATAAATGATTAACATACCCATTGCTGTGGAATATGCGACTTGTAATGGCATGCTGTCTATGTTCATCTCATTGCATGGTTCTTAGAGTTGTTGAGAATGCGATTTCAAGTGCTGAAGACATGATTTATGCATAACAGTCTAATAGATTTAGTGATTTAACACATGTAAGTTCACTACAAGCATTTGTTGTACTTATAAATATGTGCCCATTATTGTAACATTTGACAAACAATCGTTGAAATCTTACAAACACACAAGAACACTGGACTTTTGATACCTGAATCATGCATGATTGACAATGAAGTCATAAAGGTTCCCACACTTTTGCCATGTTGGACACCAGAGATAGGTGTTCGCACCTGAAGTTGTTTCCCCCTTTTCAAAAAGAAAAGCTTGGGAGGGTGTCTTCTTATGGTTCCACTTATTCTCCCAGGTTGCATGCACATATATGGAACTGTTGGGTGGAGGCCGGTGAAGGGCCAAGTCCAGCACCTGGTGATTAGGGGGTTGTTGGGCGGAGGCCTAAAGGGCTAAGTCCAGCACCTGGTGATTAGGGGGTTGTTGGGCGGAGGCCTAAAGGGCCAAGTCCAGCACCTTGCCTCTCGAAAATGTGTGGCGTTATAAGGAAATAAACGCCTTCACTACTAGCTATAGCTTTTGGCGTAGTGGTAAACACTTGATCCTAATAGGAACTAGTATAAATTGTTGCATTTGTTGATCAGATTGTCTGTTAGTCATGATCATCAATAGATATACCATCTATCCTTGTACAATATCTTGGTTGTCTTCTAATTTTAATTAATCTTGGCAATGTTACTTTCACCCTCTTCTTCAGTTGATAATCACTTGTTTCTTTGTTGGTTTCCCATGAAATGATGACAGATGATGGCCATTGAACTGGGAATGCTGAATTCAAGGTCACCAGATCTTTCAAAAATGAGATGATGGAGAACCAACCTCATGCAAAAGAGATTGGTTTAAGAATATTGCTTTGGAGATTGGTGTCTCAATTTTGTCTTCCTATTTGAAGCAAATGTGCAATTACTTGAACTATATTTTAAAAAAGTTGGATTTGCACATTTATATATTATTATATGCTGGGGAGAAATGTGCTTCAGAAATTGCATTGAGATCTTTTCACTTTTAGGATTTTACAGTTATAAAAACCCAAGCATCAGACTTTAGCACTGTACTCACTGGTGACTGTATAGGAAATGTGGCGTTGTTGCCAGAACCTGCTGCAAAGAGCCTCGTCTGGACTGGCCTTATGCCCTCACTCATCATCCTCCTCCTCATCGAACAACAAGAGCACATTCAGACACATCATCATCGGCTCCAATGCAGCGGCATCAAGTCCGAGTGTGTCGATTTGGAGACGTAAGAAGGAAATGGGGAAAGAAGGTCTAATGGTGGCAAGGAACTCAAGCGGTTACAGTTAGACCCTATTCGGCTTGAACGGTTTATGAAGTCAAATGTTTCTCGACTTCTCAAATCTGACCTCCTCGCTGTCCTCGCCCAATTCCAGAGACAATACCTTATCTTTCTTTCCATGAAGGTACCAATTTAAACAAAGAAAAAAAAAAAACTTCTTTTTTCTAGTAAATTATAATTAACTTTTTAACTTCTTGCTATATTTTATTAGTTGAAAAGTGAATGTTGCAATCATAACAATCTATTTTTTTTGTAGTTGTTCAACCGGATTGCTTGATACATTATTATGAATCGATCAGAGTGCACACATTGCTTGCCTTTTAGTTTTGAATAAGCTTGAGAACATTATGTTTGGTATTTTGGTAATGCTCAAAGTGATGACCCATATAAATGCCTAACTATTGATGCTTATAGTGAAATAGACCTTTTTCATGATGGTGTATTCATTGGAAAGCGATTATTCTAGAAAATTTCTTGTTTGTGGCACTCTAGTCATTGAACTGTTTTTCTTATTCTTATGGTTAATTTTAAGAGTAAAATAGAAACGGCTTGCTATTACGTCAGTGAGATCAATTGTTGCGATCTCGGAAATAATGATAGATGATTGCCCCTGAACTGGGATGAGTGCATGGAATACAAGTGAAGTTTACTGCATTAAGATTGTTGTGAAGTTTACTTTGTTGATTTGTGTATGCTTACATAATACTTCCTCCACCTCCTATGTGGTCTAATGGTACCCGGGTTGGACTTTCATTTGGAAGATTGTGAGTTCGAGCCTCAGTGGAGCCTCACATACTACCATGTAATAGAGTCAGTAGCATTCAAAAAAAAAAAACATAATACTTCCTCCATCTCATTTTTGCCTCGGGGCAACGTATTAACCTCCAAAAATCCCAGATATTCTTTTCTAAGAACATAAAATCTCGACAAAAATTGGTACCTCCAAAAATCCCATATATTTTTTTCTAAGAACATAAAATCTCGACGAAATTTGGTATCAGCCGGACTACTGACCGTGGTAAATACTTGGGAGTCCCTACCATTCATGGAAGGGTCTCCAAATCTTATTTTGTGCAGGTCATAGATCGTATTAGTGAGAGGTTTGAAGGGTTGAGGAGGCCTTAAGATGGACGGAAGCTAAAAGAATTCTCAATTTGGAAGTTCAGACTGATTGCAAAGAGGTTGAGGAGGCCCTCAATGTTGTCAAAATCTATGATCACCATCTGGGAACCATCAAACTCCGATGAAGAGACATGATCCATAGAAGTGGCAACACTGTTGGTGCATGTTTTACGTGAGCAGAATTATGTTGCAGACTCTTTGGCCAAGATTGCTGCTAGCAGAAGGGAACCATGTATTATTTTTGCTGCCCTTCCCCTTGAATGTGAAACTTTGGTGTATAATGATCAATTGGGGGCTGTGAGTGATCGTCTCATGTTTGAGTCAGAGTAGGCTGATTTGTTTTCTTCAGCCTGGGTTCCTCCCTCCCTACTGTATTTCCAAAAAATTAGATAATTACAATTCAATTTTTCATAATATATAAAATTTTTATCTGTAGAAACTAGATTAAGAGTATCATTATATATCAATAAATTAAATTTAAAAATAAAAAAAATACTAAAGAGAATAAGTAAAGAAGATGTTAAGTACAATGAAAAGAACTAAATATGAACTCCAATAGTACTTTAAAAAAAATGAAAATGAAAATTTTCTTAAAACAAATAAAATGAAATAAATTTTATTAGAAGGATAATATTGAAAACTGATTTAAATTATAGAGTTAAATGAAGAAGGATATATGTAGAAAAAATAATTCCACAAGAAAAGAAAACTACATAAACAAATATAATATGATATTAGAAAGCAATGGAGAAGTCTTTGCGTTTGCCGGGAGTCGAACCCGGGTCTATTGCTTGGAAGGCAATTATCCTAACCGTTGGACTACAAACGCTTCTTGTTCAGTGTACACAGAACTAATTCATAAACTCATTACAGTAGAGGTCCCTGAACGTAGAACTTTCATAGTGCTCAACTGATCTGCAATCTGCAGCTCCATTTTAGAAGAACCCACCAACGAAAATGGAAAAAGGGGGGGAAAAAAAAAGATGGGAAGCTTGTCAGACAGCCAAGAGGCCATCCCGGCCGCAACTAGACGGCCAGGAACGATCATCTACGGCTCCAACCGGCGAAGGCACGGTGCTGTTACTCACGCTCTAGCCTCTTGGCCATTACTCATCCACCAAGCTTAGTTTCCTGTCTCCTTAGAACTCAAGGATACAGAGGTACGAGCCTATAGAACAGATCCTGTTCAAGTAAGGTCGTGTCCAACTCTCGCAAATGGAATCTTATATTTTGGTTTCAAGTTTCATAGTTTCCCGATGTGGGACATTTTAATTTCTCAGTTTTGGTTGTTGAACTGAGACTATCTACCAGACTAGCGCAAATGGAAGCAATAAGGGTTTGAATTCCGTAGCTGATGGTTTGATAGGAAAGTAGCGTTTGCGAAGAGCCTTGTCAGGACTACCCTTACGCCCTCACTCATCGAACAACAAGACCACATTCAGACACATCATCGTCGGCTCAAATGCAGCGGCATCAAGTCCGAGTGTTTCAATTTGGAGACGTAAGAAGGAAATGGGGAAAGAAGGCCTAATGGTAGTCAAGGAATTCAAGAGTTTACAGTTAGTCCCTATTCGGCTTGAACGGTTTATGAAATCAAATGTTTCTCGACTTCTCAAATCTGATCTCCTTGCTGTCCTCGCTGAATCCTTATCTTTCTTTCCATGAAGGTACCAATTTAAACAGAGAAAAAAAAAAAAAAAAAGAAGCTTCCTTTTTCTAGTATATTATAATTAACTTTTTAAGTTCTTGCTACATTTTATTAGTTGAAAAGTGAACGTTGCAATCATAACAATCTGTTTTTTTCGTTGTTGTTCAACCGGATTGCTTGATACATTATTATGAATCGATTAGAGTGCACACATTGCTTGCCTTTTAGTTTTGAATAAGCTTGAGAAAAGTACGAGTTTATGTTGCAAAAAATAAGAACATTATGTTTGGTATTTTGGTAATGCTCAACCATTGATGCTTATAGTGAAATATATAAATGCTTATAAATGCCCATTGATGCTTATAGTGAAATAGACCTTTTTCATGTTGGTGTATTCATTGGAAAGCGAAAGCGATTATTCTAGAAAATTTTTTGTTTGTGGCACTCTAGTCATTGAATTGTTTTTCTTATTCTTATCGTTAATTTTAAGAGTAAAATAGAAACGGCCTGCTATTACGTCCCTGAGATCAATTGTTGTGATCTCGGAAGAGCCTAAACAGGATACTTTTGTTCATCTATGCCAAAGTATTTGACTATTGTGTTTACATGTGTAGATGTATGAAGTGATGCGTAAAGAGATATGGTATCGACCAGATATGTCTTTTTATAGGGATTGCAAAGAAGAAAAGGGTAGATGAAGCAAAGAAGGTGTGGGAAGATTTGAAGAGTGAAGGTGTCCTTTTTGATCAACATACATTTGGTGAGCTTGTGGATTGTGTGATGAGGCAATGCATATATATGATGAAATGAGAATTGAAGCTCTACTGATCCCCCTTTATCTGAGTCATATTAAAAGGGCTTCTTCCTTATCCAGATTTGAGAGAAAAGGTCAAGGATGACTTTCTTCAACTTTTTCCAGATATGATCATTTATGCTCCTCATGAAGACTTATTTGATGATGAAGAGTGGAGAAAGGAGAGTGAGGATAATAGATAGTTGGCATTCTATTAAAATTAAAAGTTGAATGGTGTTTAAGATTGTTGCTTTTACAGACATGTTCAAATGGATAACATTGAAAAATATTGAGGAGACTAAAATGAGTGAATCATTTCTTCTACTTCTTGATCATCCTGAACACTCAATCACTCACTCAACAAATGGATCGATCTATGAGAAGGGGCCAGTTGTAAGTGCATAGTCTAAGTCTGCAATGAGATCATTAACATCTTCAATTCCAACAGAAATACGAACAAGATCCTCAGTGAGGCCTCTCGCCTCTCGCACTGCAGCAGGTATGCTTGCATGGGACATAAAACACGGCAAGCTTATTAAGGATTTCACGCTTCCTGTGGTCAAATGTCAAATTCACCATAAGGCCCCGTGACCGCCATTTGGCTAATTGTCTGTCATATGATAGTGTAAGTAAATAATTTGAGTAGTAGGAAGTTACCGAAACTGACAGTAACACTGAAATACTTTGTGGTCTCAACTACATGCTTAGAAAGTGCCAAAGATCCTGTCCAAAAACTAAGCACTGATCCTGCACCCTTTGCCTGCAATAAGTGAGACAAAAATCTTTATAATTACCACACAATGTCTGTCGGGGATGGCTGGCAAGTTAGAAGAAGGTTGAAAATCTTTAGCATTACGGGTTGGGTTGGCAATACCTGAGAATAGTGCAATGACCGTCCAGGATGACCAGGAAGACCAGCATAATTAACCTTCTTCACTCTTGGATGGGAGGCGAGATATTCAGCAATCTTTTGTGCATTTTCCTGCAAAGATTACAAGAAGAACGACCCATCTAGAGATTGTTTTACCATACAACTTACTGCAAAATTTTGAATTTATAAACCAATGTTTTCCATTTCATCACATAAGAAAACTAACCTGTTGCTTCTCAACACGCAGAGCCATAGTTTTGATTCCTCTTAAGCAAAGCCAACAGTCAAATGGGGCTAATCCCGCACCTTCTGCGTTTTGTAGGAAATATAACTCCTTTCCCAAGCTGGTTTGAATAAACAAAATTCAGGTCGTCACTAGTCCATATAATATAAATAAGTAAAGACAATAAGGCACCATTCAAACATTAGATCAAATGTGTAACATACAGAAAAAATCAAGGTTGCAAAAAACGTTAGGCGCCAAGCACCTAGGGCGCCGATTTTTTTTACTTTTTTTTTTTAATTTTTTTTATTTAAAAAAAAAATAAAATTTAAAATTATGAAATTCACTAATAAAACATAAGGTTCCTCTAGTTTTTTCTTACAAATTATTTACATAAGATGTTGTAAAATCGTTTTAAATATTGTTTAAAGTTTTAAACCATCTAAATACATAAAAAATTAAAATTAAGAGCAAAAGAAGCATTTTTTGGAGAAATTAGAGGGCCAAACCGCCTTCGGCTGTTTGCGGTGTATAGATCTCAAAAAAATACGCGATTTGAAAAAAAAAAAATTGTCCAAAACGGACAACCGAGTCAAAAGTTATGCCTTCCCGAACTTTTAACACTTTAAAACTATAAAAAATAAAAAATAAAAAATAAAAGAAGGCCGAACCGGCCGGCTAGGCGGTCGCCTAGACCGCCTAGCCGGCCGGCCGCGGAGGAGGCCGATTCCGGCCTTCCTAGCGCCTAGGCGCCCATTGCGCGATTTTTGCAACCATGGAAAAAATACTTCAATAGAAATATACAGACCACCAAAATGAACAAATCAACTAATAATTATAATTGTTGTACATTAAAGGTTTTATAATTCAACTTATTAGCTGAAACAATCTAGTTTCCTTTAACTTCTAGAAATAAAATGCCAAAATTATCATTAATCTTTTAAATCAGTAGAAGATTATTGCAGAGTTGTTAACAAGAAACAATGAAAAAGCAATGTGTTCATTGAGTTCCACCCAAAACAGAAACTAGATAGATCCAAACACGACTATTTAGTGAAATTTTAAAATGATTCACATACTCTTTGGTGAAAAGTTTAGAAGCGAATACATTAAATGTCTATAAAGAAAGAGTGGAAAAACCTTTCTCCTTTAACAGCAAGGATACCAGCCATAAGATCACTATGACCAGATATGAATTTAGTAGCTGAAGTCATCACAATATCTGGAAAAGTGAAGGGTGGTAAAAATGGACCAGTTGAACTCAACTATAAATAAATTGAATTGAAGAAAGAAAAAGATACGGAGTAGTTCCCAATACCTGCTCCAAGCTCTAAGGGGCAACACAATACAGGGGACATAATGCTGTTATCCACCAGCACGAGAGCACCATGAGCATGAGCCACCTCAGCAATTTTCTGAATTGAATATTTGCATGGAAATAAAAAAACATGAGTTTTAAAGAAGAAAACGTTATTATAATATTCTTGCAGGGTTCCTTTAACAATCCAAAGAACACAAAGGACCATATAAGAACAATCTAGGAACTTCAAAATCACTATGACCCACACGGATATCACAAATTTGTTGACGAGGGTTTGTAGGACTTTCTAGCCACACAAGCTTTGTCCTTGCTCCAATTGCTGATGCAACCTCATCTAGATTAGTTGTGTCAACTCGCCTGTACAGTCATTATAAAAGCACTAAGTTTCTGGTTGAGAACAAGTTATTTTAACAAAACTGATACGAACTTGACAACAATTCCACTTTTTGGTACTACTTGTGACAATAGCCGATCTGAACCACCATATATGTCATCCCCAGCAACAATCTCCTCACCTATTAAGCAATAGAAATCAAAGATTTCAAGGATAAATTTCAACAGTAATCTCAAGGAACTAGAAAACAAATTACCCTAACCAAGTGAGCAACTGGATGAGCCTAATATGCACCTACTTAAAAAATTAGGAGAAAATCACTACTATGATTAACACCTACAGAAATATAAAAGTACCAGTTCCAACGAGGCGAGTTACAGCCGCCAAGGCAGCCATCCCACTGGTGAAGCAAAATGCTCTATCTGCTTTCTCAAGCTTTGCGAGAAGCCTGAAATATTGGGAAATGTGGATGAGTGCACATATCATAATGAACATATATAGACCTGCATTAACTGCAGTATGCAGATGTGAGAAGCAACACACTTTTCTAATGCATCCCTCGTTGGATTTCCACTCCTTGTATAATCATAAGGGCCATATTCAGTTGCTGAAGGCTGCAGAAAGATGTCACAGGGCATTCAGTAACAAGTTAATATGAATGTAGAATGGAAATATGAGGCTGCAGTGACCAGTGATGGTAATACATATTATTCAGAGTATCAGCTTGATTCTATCACCATTCTGACTCTCAGTGAAGAAAGCCATTTTAGTATAATCATTAATCAACAATCCGAAGATGAACAAACATAAGGTGTTCCATTTTATTCCTTAAAATTCAATAAACTTACTTGCTTAAAAGTAGCTGTTTGATACAAAGGAGTGCTCAAGGCATCATAAGGGTCAAAATCGTTAGTAAAATTCATCAGCACTGTTGAAAAGCTTGGCTCTTTTGGCTCCCCTTGCTCGGTCAGCGCCTTATCCTCTGTATCTGGCATCAATCAATA